GAACCAAGAGTTGGATGCTCAACCGACTGAGCCATCAGGTGCCGCAAGGAACTAGAATTGAAATAAAAACGTATAACATAAATATGAATAAATAAACATCTGATTCTTTGAGGTTGTCCAAATTGTTGCTGTGTACTCTTCACAATAGTTCCTTTGAGCCTTTGTTGTGGTGTGTCCATTGTGATATGTTAGCCAACTAGAAATCGTGGTTTTGAATAGCCATGGTGTGACTGTTCTCAGCGAGAGCGAGGTGAGTGGCTTGGGGAAGGGGAGCAGGAGGGCCGTGTGATTGCTGACCGAGGGGGACCCCAGGCTGTGCCCCACGGATGCCCCTGCTCTGCAATAGCCATCGTTCCCTCCCACTTCTCACTTGTGTTCGTGGCGCCTGTCACAGGGGACCCGTCAATGCCCCACATCGTGGCCCAGGTGGTGCCCGTCAAAAAAACACCAAATGGAACAAATGGCATGGCCTGAAACCTGTTACATTTGCAAAATTCTAGTGAGAATCCTGTGTTCAGGAACCTCTGGTAATTTCCTAAGTTGGTACTTACTCTTGGTGTTAAAAAATGAAGGGGTACGCAGGTCTCGGTGCTTCACATGGTGATTTTCTGGTTGGGATTTACTTTGTGCTAGGGGAGGTCATAGAACGAGACAGAACATCTCTCTTTGCACGGTAGCCCAGTCCCACCCATAGCATCTGGCTGTGAGCTGTGGGTAGATCGTGTGCCCTGGGGTGAAATTGTGAGACCTGGAAAAGATCATCTCACCAGCAGGTGCCTGAAGCCAGTGTAGGGATACACCCCTGCAAGCTGCTTTGCATTGCTGGGGGGATTACAGAATGATCATTTGATCCCTGTCCGTGTTCGAAAATGGCCAAGTCATTATTGTGAAATCTGAAAATCAGGCCCTCCTGAGAGAAGAGAATCCTTCACCAATGTTGGTGGGGCCCTGAAACCCTGCCACTCCATTCATGTCATCTTCCCTGAGTGCCTGCCCTGGGCAAGGCAAGGGCTTTGGGGGGAGGCCAAGATAGATGCAGTCCCGGCGTCCAGGGGCCCAGGTTCCCATCAAGGCGTGTGGCCTGTCAACAAGTATGTGGTGAGCAGAACAGAGAGGGGAAGGCACTCCGTGCCGTTTGAGAGGCTAGAGGAAGGTTTCCTGTGCCATTTGAGGGTGATGTCACTGACGCATGGCCCTCCTGTCCACCCCGCGGGGTACCAGATCGCCACCGCCTGGCCGGCAGTAGCCCCAGCACGTTCACCACTGTGGAGGTGGGTGCCATGGTGAGGCAGTTCATGGGCACCAAGCTGGCCCTGGAGTCGGCATACATCTTCAGGCTGCCGGCCAAGTTGAGGCAGGGCTGGGCAAGCTGCTGTAGGCCCCCGTCGTCACCACTGAGAAGAGAGGTAAGACCCGAGGCCCAAGTCCACTGTCGTGGTGCTACAGGGAGGAGAGCTGGGCAGGAAACGGAGCCGGGAACTTGCATGGTCAACGACGTCCAGGTCAGGCCCTGTACCGTCGCGTGTCTACACAGCCTGACATTTATCAGCCAGGCAGGAATGTCCCCGGTTTAATGCTAGAGACTCGGCTCAGAAAGGTTGTGTAACTGGCCCAGGGTGGCTCTGAGTCACTGTGTTGGAGGGCAGCTCCCTGAAGCCAGGCACTTGGTCTCTGATGTTCAAAACCATGTGCCCAGCTGAGCAGGTGCTCATTAAAGTTTCCTGTGGAGCAATCGTAGGGAGATCTGTCTTCATGGACGCCGCTTCTGTTGCAAACACTGGCGAGATGCTTATTGTACATTGTCTTGGTTTATCCTCACCAAAGCCTGGGGAGCAAAGCTCTGTGAGCCCCAGTTCTACAGAAGAAGTGGGGGTCCAGACAGATTCAGTCATTTCCTGCTGTGGGGGCAGTGATGTGAACACCCTTCATAGACCCCCCCCCGACCCCCTTTTCCCACACCAATCTTCTGTGAGTTCCCATCTCGGCAAGCCCCTGACATGCCCTTCAGCCTCGCTGTGGAATCTGCCTCAGCAGGCTCCCTAACCAAGGCCACCCCAATTCCAGGTGTGGAGGTCAGTGCCAGACCCAGAGGTCTGAGGGAAGAGGAGGACAGGAAGGCACTTGCACGCAGAGCCAACGGGTGCGCTCGGAGAGATGGCCTGTCCTACCTCCCATCTGGGAGTGCCTAGCGCCAGGCTCTGGAGCTGTGTGACCTTAGACAAGGCCCTTCCCCTCTCTGTGCCCTGGCGCCCACCTGGTGGCCTCTCGGGAAGCACCCAAGGGCCAGCACCGTCCACGTGGTGCCATGGCCTTGCTCAGAGTGTGAGCCGGTGTCCCTGCGTGTGATCACTCTAGGACAAGATCTAGAGCAGATGGTTTAAGTGAGGCAGGGGTTGAACCCAGAGTGCTTGAAAAACAATCCAAAGGGCTGATCTGAAACCTACCAAAGATAGAAGGCAAAAGAGGCCGGTGTGCACTGAGCTCTTGCCACCTTCTGGCCACCTTCCAGGCATTGCAGCCCATTGCTCTCTCTACTTCCACACATCAGGCCGAACCTGTCCTCTGGGGTTTTTGTGGAGGCTTCATTCCATAGGCTAGACTGATGAAAGCATTGGCCATTGGCCATTGATTGAACCTCCAGCCCCTCTCCCGTCCTCAGAAGTCATGGGCGGGACCAAAAGTTCCAACCCTCTGATCACAACGTTGGTTGTCCTGGTGACCAGCCCACATTCTCATTAACATGACAAGAGACACCTTTGTCACTCTGGACAAAGACGTGTATATGAGAAACAAGTTTTCTCATCTGAATGGCTAAATAGATATTCTTCTTACAAGTCACAACATTGCAAACATGGCTCCAGTCTCTGCTTCTGTGCTCACAGGACGCCCTCCCAGCGGTGTGTCCAAATTTCTCTCCTCTTCTAAGGATGTTTGGATCGCCTTATTGCCTCACTATTTGTCAAATGATTGCTGGATCCTAAATTGCTTCTCAAAATATGCCTTTCTTCATGTTCAGCAATGGATCATGTGGAACACTTGGGCTCCCCATGTGAATTAGCGATTATAATACCTTGCTCATGTTCATCTGTCCAGAGTTTGCAGTTACATTTACAAGCAGCTTTGCTGTTAGTGACCTCAAGCTTGAAGGTAGTCCTCTTGACTTAGGTGTCATTGAAAAGACCCCTCGATGCTTTGTTTTGGGGTTTTGGGGGCATCGGTAGGTTTAGCTTGTATTTGTAGGACCCAGGACTCTATACATGCATTTATGTCAGGTAGATTTCTAGAAGTGTAATTGTTGGGTTAAAAGGCAAGTGCATTGAAAACCTTGATAAATAAAACCAAATTGCCCTCCAAAAAAGAAACCAGTCCCTGGATTAGGGTGCTTCCTACTGCACTGTGACTTGCTCTTAACTGCAAGGTCTGCAAAACCCTGTGTCCATATAAGCTGGCATCCACAGGTACCAGGGGTTAGAACACCAATGTATCTTTTTGGAGGACACAGTTCAACCCACAACAGAGCAGTTTTCGTACAACAAAGCTGTGGCCTCTACTCTGAGACCAGGACAGCATTTCCTAAGATGCTGGTGGCATCCTATAGACAGCGGCTGTGTAGGCATCACTGAGAATTCAGCGTGCATCCATCTCTGGACAAGCTTCACCGCCCTGCTGCAGCCAGGGGTCATGGGCGTGCCCTTTGTCCATCTGTCTGGTCACAGCTTGAGCGGTTCTTGTCCTTATTTGCTGAGTATTCCAGAGGAGACCCGGGACCCAGAGCCCCTGGCCCCCTGGCCTGCACTCTGGCTGCTGCAGCCCTCCCCAGACTAATTAACCAACAGAAATTGACGGGAGGGAGAATGTGAGCTGGGCATCTCTGTGTGCATCCTGGTGTGGGTTAAATTCTGAGATTCAGGGCCTGGCTACCACCATTCATGTTCCACAGGGTGTCAAAATGTCAAATGAGCACCTGCCCTACCCTAGGCCCGCCCTTCATTGTCACCTGACATTGGAGGGACCACGGGGCTTCCAGCTTAGGTCTGAGTCAGGGCAGAATAGGGGTGATCTGGCATGCAGAGCACTCACTGCACGCCCCGCCCCCAGTGAGGCTGCCACAAACCTGGGTGGGAGATGCCCTGGAGGGCCAGAGGAGATGGGGCTCACCTCCAGGGGGCACAGCCACTGGGGTGGACAGGTCTCTGTGGCAGCCCAGGTGTGCACGGAGAGGGGTGGCCCATGGAGAGCTCCTGGGCTTTGGGGACTTGCACCCACTGTGGCGATCAGGGGGGGCTTCACGGAGGAGGAGCCATTTGAGATAGGTTGTCAGGGAAAAGGGATTTCACCGAGGACACAAGGGAAGGTAAGATTTACAAGGGCCCAGCAAAGCTAAATGTTCAAGGAGTGGGAAGAGCGAGGTGTTCCCAGGCCAGCTGACCCCTGTCTCTTTCCACCTGTAGCTCCGAGAAACACCGGTGCTACGACGTCATCCTGACGGCCTACAACATCATCGGCGAGAGCCCAGTAGCGCGCCCGTGGAGGTGTTCGTCGGCGAGGCCGGTAAGCTCCGGGTGCCCCCGCCTTCTGGGATGCCTGGCCTGGCGCTCTCAGGGGCTGAGCAGCGTGCCCATGTTGAGGAGCATGGTGCCTGTGCGAGGCTAGGAGGCTCCGGCGTGGGTCAGCGTGGGGAGGGGTGTCGGAAGCGCCGGCGGGCACCTGCGGGGAACACGGTGGCATCAGTGGTGTCAGCGGCGGCAGCAGTAGTGCTGGCCGTCAGTCGGAGTCAGCGTTCGGCAGCAGCGGAAGCTCCCGGCAGCAGAGGCAGCAGCCGTATGAGCAGCGGGTGGCGGCAGCGGTAGGTGCCGGGATAGTGGGCGTCGGTATGTGGCAGCGGGAGGCGGTGGAGGCAGGGGCGGCAGGAAGCGGTGAGGCACAGGCAGCTGGCGCCGCAGGCAGGCAAGAGCCGGCAAACGGCAGGCAGGCGGCAACAGGAAGCGGCCACAGCGGTTTCAGGTGGCGGTGGCAGGAATCGGCGGAAGACGGCGGAGGCAGGCGGCGGGGGAAGGTGGCAGGAGGAGGGAGGCTGCAGTGGCGGCCGGCAGTGCGGGCAGCCGGTTCCAGGTGCCAGCGGTAGGCAGGCGGAGGCGGCAGGTAGGAGGTAGCAGGTGCAGGCTGCAGTAAGCAGCGGCTGGCGGGCAGGCCACGGCAGGCAAGGGCCGCGGGTGGTGCCAGGACATAGCAGGCGGCGACAGCAGGCAGTCGGCGGGGGCAGGCAGGCGGCAGACAGCAGCATTAGGCAGACGGCAGCTGTGGCAATTGGCAGGTGGCAGCGGTAGGCAGACGGTGCCGGCAGTGGTGGGGTTAGGCAGGCAGCGTTGGCATGCATCCTCGGGGTTAGGTAGCTGGGCCCGGTGAGCCAGGCTGCGGCAGCAGACGGCGGTGGCAGGCGGCGGCAGGATGCGGAGGCAGTCAGGCGGCCACGGATGCCGGCGGGCAGCAGGAGGCGGGTGCACGCAAGAGCGGTGGTTGGAGAAGGCAGGTGGCGGCGGCAGGCAGAGGTAAGCGGCAGCAGGGGGCGGCAGTGGCAGACGGCAGTGGTAGTACTGACTGGTGGCGGCAGCAGGCAGGCGGTGGCAGGCGGCGGTGGCAGCACTGGTGGGCAGTGGCGGCAGGCAGCGGCAGGCAGGCGGTGGCAGTCGGTAGCAGGCGGCAGCGGGCAGCAGGAGAGGTGGCAGCGGTGACAGCACCAGCGGGTGGCGTCTGCGTCTGCAGCGGCTGCAGGGGCGGCAAGGGCTACAGGGGTGCCAGCTTTGGGCAGCCCCGGGTCATTGAGCGGCAGTGTGGCAGCCTCAGCAGCAGGTGCCATTGGCTTCAGCTTGAGTCACCGGCGGGGGAAGCAGGCGCCGCGATAGGGGCGGGGTCAGCAGCAGGCGGGTCAGCGGCGGCAGCGTGTGTCAGCGTGGGGAGGGGCGCCGGAGGTGTCGGCGGGCATAGTGGGGTTACGCGGCTGCGTCGGCAGCGTGGGCGGCGTCAGCAGTAGTGCTGGCGTCAGTCGCCTTCAGCGTTGGGCAGCAGCGGAAGCTCCGGGCAGCAGAGGCAGCAGCAGGAGTATCAGCAGCGGGCGGCGGCAGCGGTAGGTGCCGGGTTAGTGGGGCCAGTATGTGGCAGCGGGAGGCGGTGGAGGCAGTGGAGGCAGGGGGCGGCAGTAAGCGGTGGCGGCAGGGAGGCAGGTAGCGGCAGGCAAGTGTGGTGGGCGGCGGCGGTAGGCGATTGCAGGCGGCGGCAGGAAGCGGTGGCAGGCTGTGGTAAGCAACGGCAAGCAGGCAGGCGGCCGCGGCAGGCACGCAAGGGCGGTGGGTGGCAGAAGGCAGGTGGCGGCGGCAGGCAGAGGTAAGCGGCAGCAGGGTCGGCAGTGGCAGACAGCAGTGGTAGTACTGACTGGTGGCGGCAGCAGGCAGGCGGTGGCAGGCGGCGGTGGCAGCAGTGGTGGACAGTGGATGCAGGCAGCGGCAGGCAGGCGGTGGCAGGCGGTGGCAGGCGGCAGCGGGCAGCAGCAGAGGTGGCAGCGGTGGCAGCACCAGCGGGTGGAGTCTGCGGCTGCATCGGCTACAGGGGCGGCAAGGGCTGCAGGGGCGCTAGCTTTGGGCAGCCCCGGGTCATTGGGCGGCGGTGTGTGGCAGCCTCAGCAGCAGGTGCCATTGGCTTCAGCCGGAGTCACCGGAGGGGGAAGCAGGCGCCGCGATAGGGGCGGGGTCAGCAGCAGGCGGGTCAGCGGCGGCAGCGTGCCTCAGCGTAGGGAGGGGCGCCGGAAGCGCCGCGGGCATCTGCGGGTTACGCGGTGGCATCAGTGGCGTCAGTGACGTCAGCGGCGGCAGCGGCGGCAGCAGTAGCGCTGGCGTCAGTCGGTTTCAGCTTTGTGCAGCAGCGGAAGCTCCAGGCAGCAGAGGCAGCAGCAGGCGTATCAGCAGCGGTCAGCGGCAGCGGTAGGTGCCGGGTTACTGGGGTCAGTATGTGGCAGCGGGAGGCGGTGGAGGCAGTGGAGGCAGGGTGCAGCAGTAAGTGGTGGGGGCAGGGAGGCAGGTAGCGGCAGGCAAGTGTGGTGGGCGGCGGCAGGCAGGGTTGGCAGACAGGCGCCGGCGGTAGGCGATTGCAGGCGGCGGCAGGATGCGGTGGCAGGCTGTGGTAAGCAACAGCAGGCAGGCAGGCCGCCGCGGCAGGCAGGCAAGGGCGGCGGGCGGTGGAAGGAGGTAGCAGGCGGCGGCGTCGGCAGGGGGCGGGGGCAGGCAGGCTGCGGCAGGCAGGTGGCAGACAGTTGCAGGCAGGCTGCAGCACTGGGGGTACGCAGTAGCCGCAGGTGGCAACAGGCAGTGGCGGCAGGAAGCGGCGGCGGGCAGGTGGTGGGGGCAAGGTAGTGGCGGCCGGCAGACCCCGGCTAGGGGCAGGCAGGGGGCGGCGGCGGCAAGAGGTGGCAGACGGGGGCAGGCAGTGGTAACCCGCGGGAGGAAGCGGCGGCCGGCGGCAGGGCCAGGCAACATTGTTAGGTAGGCGGCAGCGGTAGGCATGTGGTGGCGGTGGGCTGCCGTGGCGGGTAGTGGTAAGTGGCAGCAGGCGGGGGTAGGCGGCGGTGGTAGGTAAGCAGCAGCAGGCCCTGGCGGGCTGCAGGGTGCAGGGGCCAGGCACGAAGCGGCGGCTGACAGTCGCAGCCGGCCGTAAGCGGTGGCAGAAAGTGGCGGCAGGCGGCAGGGTCAGGTGGCAGGGGGAGGCAGGCTGCAGCGGCGGCAGGCAGTGAGGGCAGCAGACGGCAGCGGCAGGCGGTGGGGGCAAGCGGGCTGCAGGGGGCAGCGGCAGCAGGTGGCGGCGGTAGGCAGGCAATGTTGGCAGGCATCGTCGAGGTTCGGCAGCGGAGGCTGGTGGCAGTAGCCGCAGATGGCAACAGGCGGTGGTGGCAGGAAGCAGTGGCAGGCGGGTGGCGGGGACAAGTGGTGGCCGCAGGCAGCAGTGTTAGGAAGGCGGGAATTGCAGCTGTTGGGAGGCGGCAGTAGTAGGCATGCGGTGGTGGCAGGCTGCGGTGGCGGGCAGTGGTAAGCGGCAGCAGGCGGCGGTGGTAAGGAAGCGGCAGTGGGCTGTAGCGGGCAGCGGGCAGTCGGGGCAGACAGGCGGTGGCAGGCAATGTCGGCAGCGGGCTGCAAGCGGCCGCGGTAGGCAGGTGGTGGTGGTGGTGGCGGCAGGTGGCGGCGGTAGGCAGCGGTAAGCGGCGGCAGGGGGTGCGGGCAGGCAGGCGGAGGCAGGGGGACACAGGCAAGGACGGCGGGCGGCGGCAGGCAGGGTTGGCAGACAGGCGGTGGTGGTAGGTAGTAGCAGGCAGCCCCAGCAGGAAGCGAAGGCAGGCGGCAGTGGCAGCAGGCGGCAGCGCGGGCAGGCTGTGGTAAGCCGTGGCTGGCAGTCAGGCAGCCACAAGCAAGGGAGGCGGGCGGTGCGAGGAGGTAGCAGGCGTCGGCGGCAGGAAGCGGTGGGACGCAGGCAGCTGGGGCGGCAGGCAGGAAGCCCCGGCATGCGTCAGGCAGGCGGCAACAGGAAGCGGCGGTAGCGGTGTCAGGCGGCAGTGGCAGGAAGCGGCGGCAGACAGAGGAGGCAGGTGGCGGGCGAAGGTGGCAGGAGGAGGCAGGCTGCAGCGGAGGCAGGCAGTGGGGGCAGTGGGCTGCAGGCACCAGTGGTAGGCAGGCAGTGGCGGTAGGTAAGAGGTAGCAGGTGCAGGCTGCAGTAAGCAGCGGCTGGCAGGCAGGTCACGGCAGGTAAGGGCCGCGGGTGGTTTAAGGATATAGCAGGCGGCGGCAGCAGGCAGGCGGCGGGGGCAGGCAGGTGGCAGACAGCAGCATTAGGCAGGCGGCAGCGGTAGCCTGGCGGTGCCGGCAGCGGTTGGCGTAGGCAGGCAGCGTTGGCATGCATTCTCGGTGTTAGGTAGCTGGGCCCGGTGGAGCCAGGCTGCGGCAGCAGACGGCGGCGGCAGGCAGGCGGTCACGGATGCCGGTGGGCAGCAGGCTGCAGGCGCAGGCAAGGGCGGTGGGTGGAAGAAGGCAGGTGGCGGCGGCAGGCAGAGGTAAGTGGCAGCAGGGGCCGGCAGTGGCATACGGCAGTGGTAGTACTGACTGGTGGCGGCAGCAGGCAGGCGGTGGCAGGCGGCGGTGGCAGCACTGGTGGGCAGTGGCGGCAGGCAGCGGCAGGCAGGCGGTGGCAGTCGGTGGCAGGCGGCAGCGGGCAGCAGCAGAGGGGGCAGCGGTGGCAGCACCAGCGGGTGGAGTCTGCGGCTGCATCGGCTGCAGGGGCGGCAAGGGCTGCAGGGGCGCCAGCTTTGGGCAGCCCCGGGTCATTGGGCGGCGGTGTGTGGCAGCCTCAGCAGCAGGTGCCATTGGCTTCAGCCGGAGTCACCGACGGGGGAAGCAGGCGCCGCGATAGGGGCGGGGTCAGCAGCAGGCGGGTAGCGGCGGCAGCGTGAGTCAGCGTGGGGAGGGGCGCCGGAAGCGCCGGCGGGCATCTGTGAGTTACGCGGCGGCGTCAGCGGCGTCAGCAGTACTGTTGGCGTCAGTCGGCTTCCGCGTTGGGCAGCAGCGGAAGCTCCGGGCAGCAGAAGCAGCAGCAGGAGTATCAGCAGCGGGCGGCGGCAGCGGTAGGTGCCGGGTTAGTGGGGTCAGTATGTGGCAGCGGGAGGCGGTGGAGGCAGTGGAGGCAGGGGGCGGCAGTAAGCGGTGGGGGCAGGGAGGCAGGTAGCGGCAGGCAAGTGTGGTGGGCGGCGGCAGGCAGGGTTGGCAGACAGGCGCCGGCGGTAGGCGATTGCAGGCGGCGGCAGGAAGCGTTGGCAGGCTGTGGTAAGCAACGGCAGGCAGGCAGGCGGCCGCGGCAGGCAGGCAAGGGCGGCGGGCGGTGGAAGGAGGTAGCAGGCGGCGGCGTCGGCAGGGGGCGGGGGCAGGCAGGCTGCGGCAGGCAGGTGACAGACAGTTGCAGGCAGGCTGCAGCACTGGGGGTACGCAGTAGCCGCAGGTGGCAACAAGTGGTGGGGGCAGGGGGCCGCGGCAACAAGAGGTAGCAGGCGGCGGTGGCGGCAGGGGGCGGGGGCGGGCAGGCTGCGGCAGGCAGGTGGCAGACAGTTGCAGGCAGGCTGCAGCACTGGGGGTACGCAGTAGCTGCAGGTGGCAACAGGCAGTGGCGACAGGAAGCGGCGGCGGGCAGGTGTTGGGGGCAGGTAGTGGCGGCCGGCAGACCCCGGCTAGGGGCAGGCAGGGGGCGGCAGGGTCAAGAGGTGGCAGACGGGGCAGGCAGTGGTAAGCGGCGGGAGGAAGCGGCGGCAGGTGGCAGGGCCAGGCAGCAGCGTTAGGTAGGCGGCAGCGATAGGCGTGTGGTGGCCTTGGGCTGGCGTGGCGGGTAGTGGTAAGTGGCAGCAGGCGGTGGTAGGCGGCGGTGGTAGGTAAGCAGCAGAAGGCCGTGGCGGGCTGCAGGCCCCAGGGCCCAGGCAGGAAGCGGCGGCTGATAATCGCAGCCAGCCATAAGCGGTGGTAGAAAGCGGCGGCAGGCGGGGGTAGGGGGCGGGGGGGGGGCGGGCCACAGTGGGGGCAGGCAGTGTGGGAAGCAGGCAGCAGTGGCCGCAGGCAGCGGAGGCAAGCGGGCTGCAGGGAGCAGCGGCAGCAGTTGGCGGCGGTAGGTTGGCAGCGTGGCAGACACCGTCGAGTTTAGGCAGCGGAGGCTGGTGGCAGCAGAGGAGGTGGCAGGTGGCGGGCTGCAGGTGGCGGCGGTAGACAGCAGTAAATGGCAGCAGGGGGTGCGGGCAGGCAGGCGGAGGCAAGGAGATACAGGCAAGGGTGGCAGGCGGCAGCGGAAGGAAGCGGTGGCGGGCAGGTGGCTGGGGCGGTAGGCAGCGGTAACTGGCAGCAGCTGGCGGGGGCAGCGTCCCGGTGGTGGTACGGGCAGGGTCAGCGCTGGGCAGCCAGCGCCAGCAAGCAGCAGGCGGCAGAGAGCGGCAGCGTGGGCCAGCCGCGTCGGCGGTCAGCAGCAGCATCTGCGATGGGCAGCGGGTGTCCGTGGCGGTAGCTGGGGGCAGTGGCGGTAGCTGGGGGCTGTGGCGGTATGGCTGGGAGCAGAGAGAGCCGGGGGCAGCGGCGTCCTTGGAACCCTAGCATGCTGCGGTTCCGAGGAAGAGGTGCCCCTCAGCCTGGTATCTGCAGGGCACACAGGGGGCCACCCAGGACCCAGAGGCTGAATCTGAGGCGGCGTGCCAAGTCCTGCTTCCTCCCATTGGGGAGGCCAGTTGAGTTCGGCCTCTGCCCTGGGCCTGAGCTTCAGTCTCTCCATCTGTAAAGTGGGCAGAACAGCAAAACCTTAGGGTTATGGTGCAGATTTAACGTAGGTAATGGGTTTCCTCTAGACTGGTTCAGAGTACAGATTGTCATTCCTCTTATTCCACTTCCAGCTGTGTGACCTTGAGCAAGATAGGTAATCGCCAGGCCTCAGAATTCTCATCTGAGAGATGGGTCTGCAAAGAGGACCTATATAGGCTTGTTTTGGGGATTTAGTGAAGTAGTACACAGAACCCATTTCCAAAATCAATGTAAATCATGGTTCCTGGCTCGAGATAAGTGCAGTACGAGTCTTTGGGATTAATATCACAGAAGTATTAGTTATTGTTATTGCTAGCACCGGGGAAGGAACACCGTGATTGCCATCCTCATGATTATCATCGTGAGTTAATTGAGGAGCTGCTCTGTGCCTGGCGCTGGCTAAGCATTCTACACCCTTTATCAGTTTGCACATCTCCATGGGCTAGGATCCTGATAGGCCTCTGAGTCTTAGAGACGCAGATAATGCTTGGAACCAGATTTCAATCCCTTGTCTTTGCAGCTCCAAAACCTGTGCTTCCAACCTCTCCATGATTGGGGCGTATCCGAAACCCTCATGCCTCTCTGCTTGACTCTGCACCTTACAGCTTAGAATAGGGCCTAACCCAGAGGAATACAGAGGGATAAGTATTCTCTATTTCTGTTACCGTCGTAGTCTTTATTCCCTCGCAGTGCTTTATGGGCACAGATGTAACGGCGTTGGTTAGTGATTCAGATCAAGAGCTGACAGACCATCCCAACTGAGAGAAATGAGACCCATTTTATGTGCTCCTCTCCCCCTAGAATGACGGTCAAGAGACAGTGATGACTGAGAGGTTGCCAGTGAGTTAAAGAAGTTGGCTGCCCAGCCGCAAGAGCCTGAGTAGACAGCAGCGGCGACCTTTGGTAGCATCTCAAAAGACACCTACACGATGGAACATGCCCAGGGATTTGGAAAACCGGTAAGGCACTTTCCATACACCCTGCCTTGTTCTTCCTCAACTTCTTCAGTATCTCCGAGGAACTCCCTGCTACTTCCTGTACCCCTAAGCGGGATGCAGTGCCCACTGCTCTGGGTAGAGAGGAGCCCGGCACTTTACATGCTGTTCTGTGCACGCACTCACCAGTGTACAAAGCTCTCCTTTAGCCTCTGTGAGGAACAGGAGGGCAGTTTCCCGCACAGATTTGGGCAGGTCCCTGCACTTTTTGAGTCCCCTGAACAATGGTGTACGGCTTACCTGTTTAAATCCAGTTTTGTCTTGGAGTGTTTTACAAGACCTTTTCCTTAGGATAACTTGTAAGATCACTCTCTTTACAAATTCGAAGCTTGTAATACAGTGTTATTAACTATAGCTGCCATGTTGTACGTTACATCCTGTGACTGACTGACTTTATACCTGTAAGTTTGAACCTTTGACCCCTGTCACCCATTTCACACCCATCCCCCTGCCTGTCAACCACCAATCTGACTGCTGTATCTTTAAGCTCAGTTTTTTGGTGTTTTTAGATTCCATATAAAAGTGTTGTCATAGAGTATTTGTCTTTGACTTCTTTCAGTTAGCATCGTGCCCTCAGGGTCCATCCATGTTGTTGTAAAAAGAACGATTTCTTTTTTTGTTATGGCTAAAGAGTATTGCAGCGTCTACATACACCACATCTTCCTTATCGATTCATCCCTCCGTGGACATGTAGGTTGTCCTCCTATCTTAGCTGTTATGAATAATGCTGCAGTGAACATGGGGGTTCAGATATCTTTTCAAATGGGTATTTTTGTTTTCTTTGGCTAAATGGCCAGGAGAAAAATTGCTGGATTGTAGGCTCGTTCTAGTTTTAATGTTTTGAGGAGCCTGCATACTCTTTTCCACAGTGGATGCACCTACCTACGTTCCCACCAACAGCTCACTGGGGTTCCCTTTCGGCCACATCCTTGCTAACATGTGTTATTTCTCATCTTTTTGATACTAAGTTTTCTAACCAGTGTGAGGTGCTATCCCATTGTTGTTTTGATTTGCATTTCCCTGATGATTCATGATGTTGAGCATCTTTTCACGTCCCTGTTGGCTCTCTGGATGTCTTCTCTGGATAATGTCCATTTGGATAATCCTCCCACTTTTTAACCACTTTGTTTTTTTGCTGTAGTTATTGAGTGTAGGAGTGCTTTATATGTACTGGATACTAATCTTTTTTTTTTTTTTTTAAGGATTTATTTATTTATTTATTTGAGAGAGAGAATGAGATAGAGAGCATGAGAGGGTGGAGGGTCAGAGGGAGAAGCAGACTCCCTGCTGAGCAGGGAGCCTGACGTGGGACTCGATCCCGGGACTCTGGGATCATGACCTAAGCCGAAGGCAGTCGCTTAACCAACTGAGCCACCCAGGCGCCCCTCCATACAAATTTTAAAGATTCTTTGCCTTATGTCTGTAGAACATGTTTCGAATTTTGGTAAGAATTGCATTCAATCTCTAGACGGTTTTGGGTAGTATAGACATTTTAACACTTAATTCTTCTAATCCATGAGCATGGAATGTCGATTTACTTGTGTTGTCTTCCGTTTCTTTCCTTAGTGTCTTACAGTTTTCAGTATATAGGCTTTCACCTCCTTGGTTAAATTTATCTTTAAGTGTTTTTTGTGTTTTTTTTTTTTTTGATGCAGTTTTAAATATTATTTTTTAAATTTATTTTCCTGTTCATTATTAGTATATAAAAATGGAACATATTTTTATGTACTTTTTATCCTGCAACTTTATTGAATCTGTTTAATAGTTTTTTTCATGTTGTTTTTAGGGTTTTTTTACATATAAAATGTCATTTGAATATAGTGACCTTTTTTTTTTTTTCTTTAAAGATTTTATTTATTTATTTGAGACAGAGAGAATGAGAGACAGAGAGCATGAGAGGGAGGAGGGTCAGAGGGAGAAGCAGATTCCGTGCCCAGCCAGGAGTCCGATGCGGGACTCGATCCCGGGACTCCAGGATCATGACCTGAGCCGAAGGCAGTCCCTTAACCAACTGAGCCACCCAGGGGCCCCTGAATATAATGACCTTTACTTCTTCCTTTCCAATTTGGATGTATTTTATTTCTTTATTTTTCTTGTGTAATTGCTCTGGCTGGGATTTCCAGTAGTATAATTGACCGTTGTCCATCGTCGGTTTGAATTGTGTGGTCCACTTAATACATTTTTTATTCAGTAAATACAGGCATTGCTTGTAAAGGTATTGTCCTTTTGAATTTTTTTTTCTTTTAAAATGATTATTTATATTCTCCTTACTTAACATACAGTGCAATATTGGTTTCAGGAGAATTCCGTGATTCATGACTTGCTTACAAACCCTACTACTCATCATAACAGTGCCCTCCTTAATCCCATCACCCAGCTAGACCATCCCCCAAACACCTCCCCTCTGTCAAATCTCTGTTTTCCAGCATCAAGAGTTTCTTACAGTTTGTTTCCCTCTCTGTTCTTTGTATTCCCCCTCCCATTTGTTGATCTGTTTGTTTCTTAAATCCTTAGGAGTGAAATCTCATGGTATTCGTCTTTCTCTGACTCACTTATTTTGCTTAGCATAATACACTCTAGCTTCATCAGGATTTTTTTTTTTTAAAGAATTTATTTATTTCTTTTTCTTTTTTTTTTAAATTTTATTATCTTATGTTAGTCACCATACAATACATCATTACTTTTTGATGTAGTGATCCACGGTCCATTGTTTTCGTATAACACCCAGTGCTTCATGCAGTACGTGCCCTCCTTAATACCCATCACTGGGCTAACCAATCCCCCCCACCCCCCTCTAAAACCCTGTGTGTTTCTCAGGTCCATAGTCTTTCATGGTTCATCTCTCCCTCCAATCCCCCCCCCCATTTTTCCCATCCTTCTCCTCATGTCCTCCATGTTTTTCCTTATGTTCCACAAATAAGTGAAACCATGTGATAATTGACTTTCTCTGCTTGACTTACTTCACTTATCATAATCTTCTCCAGTCCCATCCATGTTGATGTAAAAGGTGGGTATTCATCCTTTCTGATGGCTGAGTAATATTCCATTGTATATATGGACCACATCTTCTTTATCCATTCATCTGTTGAAGGGCATCTCGGCTCTTTCCACAGTTTGGCTATTGTGGACATTGCTGCTATGAACATTGGGGTGCATATGGCCCTTCTTTTCACTACATCTGGGTCTTTGGGACAAATACCCAGTAGTGCAATTGCTGGGTCATAGGGTACCTCTATTTTTAAATTTTTGAGGAACCTCCACACTATTATTTTTTGACAGAGAGAGACACAGCAAGGGAGGGAACACAAGCAGGGGGAGTTGGAAAGGAAGAAGGAGGCTCCCCACAGTCTTTGGATCCAATGCGGGGCTCGATCCCAGGACCCTGGGATCATGACCTGAGCCGAAGGCAGACGCTTAATAACTGAGCCCCAAGCTCCATCAGGATTTTCGTAATCACACTCTTTTTCTCTAGCTTACTTTGTTGTAAGAATACAGTCTATAATACATATAACATTCAAAATATGTTGAATCAAATCTTTGTGTTCCTGATAACTTTTGTGGTCAACAGTAGGATATTAGTAGTTCAGTTTTCGGTGACTCAAAAGTATTCTCAGATTTTCAACTGCACAGGGGTTGGCAACCCTAATCCCTGCATTGTTCAAGGGCCAACTGTATGTTGAAGAGAAGTGGCGAGAGTGTGCATCCTTGTCTTGTTCCTGATCTTAGAGGAGAAGCTTTCGGCTTTCACTCTTGCATAG